CAAATGACACGACACCAAAATAATACGACACGATACGATTGACACCCTTACTGTTGATCATCCATCTTATTTTCCTTTTTTATCAAATATGATGTTTTATCTATCTTCCAAACCTTTCGATTTTTCATCTTTTCATTTTTTTACTAATACCAAACAGAGCATTAGATTTAACGATTTATCTTATTACTTTTTTTTTTAATTATAATAGATCTTTATATTTATATTTAATTATTTAACTGCAATACAACAATTTATATATTTTAACTCCGACAAACAGTCTAATCACTTTTTATCCACATAACGTGCTTTGCACGGTTCACCCTAACTTTTTGATAACGGTCCAGATTGGGCCGATGGTGGAACAATTTTTTTCGAAGTTAGAATGACTCACAATCTATGTTCGGACAATTTTGTGTGTTTATACCGAAATTCGGACTTTTGTTTTCGATTTGGCGGGTCAATAGACCATCTTTCTGGACCGGGTAATGCTTATTCTGTAGGCCCAAAAAAAAGGGCCAACAGTTATCCCGGTTGATTTGCAAGCTGCCCACCGTTGTCGCCTGGTATAGACTGGGCTATAAATGGCCCATGGCCCGATGAAATGTTTGGGCTTTATTGGGCCACGGCCCTAATACAGAGACTTCATTTTGCAATTTTTAGTGGGTGGAATCTAAAAGCCCAAAATGATCTCGATTTTATTGGTCCATGAAAATTAGGTAAATAATTGAATGAAAATTGGAACCTAATTACAATATGATAATCTATTTTGTCAAGAAAAACAAACGCAAATTTATTGGGTTTATTAAGGACAAATGATATGAAGTTTTGCAAAATAGGTCCAATAGCCTATTCTGCTCTCTAGCCCGAATGTGATCACAAATCTGGGCAAAACTTGCTGGTAATGAATACCCGTTTTCGACATACAATAATCGGATTGAATCCTGAATCTAGCTTGACCTTTCTAAATCAAAAATTAAATTTAAATTAAACTCGATTTCAATTCACATTGCTATGTGGATAGTGTAACTCAAGTTAAAAATGTAAACATCGAAAATATTCGAGTCAAAAAGGTTAAAATTGAATTTCAATTACAAATTGAAATTTTTATAACTTGAGTTGATTTCGTGGGAGGTATAACCATGTAAAAGTCAAATGGGTAGTATAAAGTGATTTTTGTAATTTTTTTAAGTCAAGTTATGAAAGATTTATCTCTTATGAATATTATAGTCTCAGCGTGAATGATTTACTTTTAATCGAATCAAAAAAAAAATTAATTAAAATAGACATAAATTTATCCGAATATCCCTAATGGTAAAAAAAAAAAAGGTATAATCATGTAAGTATACGAGACGGATGCATGAGAAAGTATTTACGGCATCTAGGGAAAATTTAAGGACATTACCAAAAAAGGGTCAGGATTCGGTGGACTCATCATTATTACACCTCTCTCTTCAGCCGAGTCACGACAGTTGAATCGGACGGCTCAAAATAATTCAAACATCAACCTTTATCAGCAAACATTAATAAAAAATTAATTAAATTAATATAGATGGCTGGATCACTTTCCAACCGACAAAATTAATGAATTTCATTCATTTAACAATTCATGTTTATTTAATAAAATTTGGTGAGAATTACACTTTGTACCTCAAATATTTTTAAAATTTAAAATTTATATATTAGACACTTAATCTATTTATATCTATATCTATACTACTTATACATATCAACATATGTGAAATTTTTTTCATTTTCTATTTCATCCATATTTAATAACGTTAATTCAATCATACCCTATGTATCCTTAATTAGTTATTATTTTCCGTGTCATGTCCTATCAAAACTCTACTCATCATATAACATTAGGTTTCTTGTCATTCACTCTACTTGTTCTTATAACTTTAAGTCTTTAATTATAATAATAACTCTAATAAATCAAATTACTATATAATACATATATAGATTAATAACTACGTTTAGTAAAAATTAAATTAATAATTAATTTTCTAACACATAATTTATTTATTCAATTCAATTACACATAATTTATATTTTTATTAAATTTTATAAAAAAAATATTATTTAATTATATTCACATGCAACGCATATCATGTATTACTAGACTAATTTTTATAAAATTAATTATATTCTTATACCTTCATATAAGTTTTGTTTCTATACATAATTTGACTTTTAAGTTTTTTTAAAATATTTTATAAGTAGTATTTGACTTCTAAATTATTTTGAACTTTTTCTTAAGTAATAAACTTACATAAAAGTCTATTTCTATATCCATAATTGAATTAACCATTAGTGTATTAGCAATAATATGTGTCTGAAAATGCAATAAAATATAAAATTTAAATTCAAAAAAATTGATCTCATTATATTAAATAATAATTTTTATTCTTTTATTTCTTTGATTACATCATTCAAGATTTATTTTTACCCATTAGTTTTTAAAAAATATTGATAAACTTTTTTCAAAATACATAATTCGATCAATTTTTCTCACACATATGTATACTATCATATATGAATAATATCTAAAATAAAAATTATGCTAAATTATAAATTATTCAAATACTAAATAATTAGATATGTGATAAAAATAGGTGATGTGATTATTTTGAGGGGAAAGATGTAAAGTAGATAAAATTCAACTTCTTATACGTTTTATTATATAAATTATAAATGTTGTAATATGATTTTTTCATTAGTTTTCGTTGCACAATATGTTAAAAATTACCCAATTAACATTAATGAGAATAAAAAACGGAAGCTAATATAAGTGCCACATTAAAGGTGAAATATGAAAATTTAATATTTAAAAATATAAAATAAATTTTTTTAAATCTTTTGAAGTATAAAGTGTAATTTAGCCTAAATTGTTTTGGTAATTTTTGGTAAGGTATCGGATTTCTCGTATCTGGCGAATCTATCGAAAAGTTGGACATTACCAAAAAGGGTCAGGACTCGGACGACTCATTGGATTTCACCATTATTACATTACACCTCTTTCCGGACTTTCAGCTGAGTCCCAGCTGTTGAATCGGACGGCTCAAAATCATCTTAAGCTCAAAACCTCAATAAATCCAACCGTACAAACTCACCACTCTCTTTCTAAATAGTTGATTACTACTTAATCTAACGTCTTCTCTCAAAACCCCGCACTCCTCTCTCTCTCTCTCTCCCACTCTTTCAATCCATAATTTTCAGCGGCCTTGTTTGTATCTACTCTTCAGCATCAAACGAAACCATCGAATAAACAGAGAGAGAGAGAGGGGTTACAGTCATTGTTAGGAATCGCCTCTCACTCGCCATCGCCACACTACTGTCTTTATATATCTTCATATTTTAGCTTGCGAAGAAAAAAAATAAAAATAAACGACTATCTTTAAGAACGATCGGTCGGTTCAGCGATCATTATCTTTGTAAGTACCCCAGGTACTTGTCTTAAACAAACCTTTTTTTTTGTTTTCCTTTATTCTTATTAATCTGTTCTTAATAATCAATTACCTGCATGTTTCTTTAGTTTTTTTTTAAAATTTTTTTTAGGAGTATTAATTGTATGCGTGTTGATGCAATCGTGGTAGTGGAAAGAGGGATCTGTTAGTTTTAGGATGTGATTATTTTTGCTGCCTTTAAATTTTTATATTTTTTTTGTAGGTTTTGCTATCTGGGTCAGTTTGTCTTATATGTTTTTTTTTTCATAGGTAAATTACAAAGATTTGGGCTTAATTTGTGCTTTTAGATTTTTTGAACTTTCCCTTTTGTGTTAATATTATCAAATTTGGATTTAAAAATTTTCAAAATTTCTTTGCAGCTATTGAGGAGTTGGAATATGTTAGTCTTATTCTGGGATGAGAAAATCAAACTGGTTTCTGTATATCTATGAACTACTGTTGTCTGTTGTGTGTGTGACGTGGGTGTGTGCTAGTTCTGCGACCTGAATATAAATGTTTAGAACTATGAGCTTCTATAATGTATCAATATGACTCTGAGCGAAATTTGAAAACATATGTACTAAAGTAGTAATGAAGTGGACATGTTTAGAAGAACTTGTTGGCATTTTGATCCTTAATTCGGGGTGAAGACTAGTGTCCTTCAAGTTGTATTAATTTTCATGGCAACTTGTTCCTAGGGAGAAAGAACACAAATTTTGTCATTAGTGTGTGCTTGCAACCATCAACCTGGGGGATGTTTGATGGAACTGAAAGTTTAGTAACTAATCTCCCTATGTTGAAATAGAAAATACAGATTTCTAAATGAGAAAATAACATTCAAGGATAAATCTTTTCAGTTTTTCCAACTAGGTGTTGATAGTTGCATGCACACACTTTTGAATAAAAAATTTGGAGTATTACCTTCGTGAGCTCACACGCTAGTGAGCATTGAATACGATGAGGGGCTGAATGTCTAGCCAAAAGTACTAGAGCTCTTGAAGAATCATCTGCCTGTCAGTTTTTCTTCTAGCCACCATTGAACACTAAAGATGATTTTTAGCTTTTAAAGATTTTTTTTTTTTTGAGAAAGGACACATAAATTGTCATGCCAGTTTTGTTTCTAGCTGTTAAATTTGATAAAAGAGGGAGCTTTTTTAGTGTTCCAGTTGCATAGCAGGTTGTCAATCTTGTATGGTGGCAAGTTCATGTTTCAAATATGGTTGTCATCATTTCTTTCACCTATTTCCTCTTTCTGACTTGTCTTGTTAAATTGCTATTTGCATTGCTCTTTTTGCATCGCGGACTCTTGTCTTATCATTGAACTGGACTTTAAAGTTGGTCTGTGTGTTGAGTGCAAGAAGCATTGAGTCATGCATTTGGCAGACTAGCTCCAGTTTTTTCTCTTTTATTATATGTGCAAATAATTGAAACTATATGGGTTTTTGAAGTCTTTGAATGTTTTCCAGATTTCTATCTTCCTGCTTGAGTGAGTTAGTTCGTATCAAGTTTTGTGGGGTGTGTGAATCCAGTTCTACGTAAGAAGTGCTCTACGGCCTTGGGTTTTAATATTGTTCATTCCCTTGCATTTATTTTGGATACAAAATTGGCTGTAATGCAAGGACAGAGGAGTGCCTTAGATTCATTTCCTGAATCTCTAGATCTTAACCAGGGATCTGTTTCCGATAATACTGGAATGGATCAGTCGGCTGCTTGGAACAACATGGAAAGCCAATTGTCAAACTACATGCTTCCTTCCGGTGAGGGGAATTCTAGCAGTGTCAATGCTATCAGGCATAATTCTCATAGTTTTAGCGGCTGGAACTTGGGTGATTCTAGTTCTAGTTCAAATCTACAATACCAGAACTCAAATGATGGATCAGGAATGGAACATGGCTGGTCATATTCGTTTAGTGCTCCTGCCGGGATTGATGCAAGAGTAGAAGAACAACGATTTGAACCAACTAATGCCCTTCTTCGTGAGAGTGGTAGTAGTAGCTTTGGTAGCAGGGTTGCTGGTAGAAATTTAGGTATGCAGAGGTCTGTTGCAAATCATATTCCACTGAATGCAAATTTAAATGCCGGGTACATGGGCGACATTGATAATGGTAGTTGGGATAGGGCTTCTTCTGGCAATGTGGGGACTTCTTCTGGAAATTTTAACTTGATGGAGAATGATGGTGGATCAGGTTCTTTTTCAGGCAGCTGGGGATTATGCTGCAAGAGAAAGGCTCTTGAAGGTACTTCTGCACAGTTTTACTCTGGTGGGAGCTCAAGCTGCTTTCCACAGTCTGAGAACATTGTACGACAAACTATTCCTGGTCGTTATAATGCTTCTAGCAGTTTAAGTATATCTTCTCCACCGGTGACCTCGCTCAACATTAGTAATTTGGAACAGCTAGATCCGGGAATTGGAGTTGGGGCTAGAGGAGTAGCTTTTGATGTTTTTCCTACCTCTAGTGTTACTGGAATTGCAGAAAATACCCGAAGAAATTATGGTGTTAGAGGGAATCTGGGACAGCAGGAATCTGCTCCATTTGATTTACCATTTACAGGGACTGCCACCAGACGTTCGACCATTTGCTCTTCCCACCAGCCATCTAGACCCATCACATTTTCTGATTCTCTGGATTTGAGACCAACCACTTCAGTAGATGATCCACCAAACCAACCTCATTTAATGCATGCCCATGGTCTGCCAAGAAGTATTACTCCCTTCCCTTGGAATGGAGCTTCTAATCTGAGAGCTCGAAGTTCACCAAGTTCTCTTATGCTTTCGGGAGAGCGAGGTGGTGTATCGCGAGATGAAGCGAACTTGAGAAGCAACTTAAGAAACAATGCAGCAGAGTACCCCATGTTTGTTTCTTCAACTGAGACAAGGAATTTGGTACAAGACCCTGCTAATTGGAATTTAACCGCAGGAAGTTCAAGCTCTGCTGGGGGTGTTCCTTCTGGTTCTCGACTTGGTCCTGGTTCTGGTATCGACTGGTCCTGGTCCCCTCCTGTTCCTAATGTTTGGATTCCTCATCACAACACCCCAACTCAAAATCATCAAAGATCGTCAGAAGTTGCTCCTTGGACTCTGTTTACTTCTGTTGGATCTGAGTCTGAAGGTCAGAGAGGTCATTTTTCACTGTTGCCTTCAGGCTCCTCTTCTTCTTCAGACGAGACAGCAATGCCATCTGGACGTAGGAGCCGGGACCATCGTCAACTGTATCCAAGGTCAGCATTACAGATGGAGGAACCGGGTGAAGATGTTGTTGGCCGGCGTGCCTTAGTTGCTGCTGCTGAGGGGAGACAAAGACTGGTATCTGAGGTTTGTGTTGAAACTATTCCTCATTAATATCCCTCAATATATACAACTTAGTTTATTATCTTTGTACTTAAACCTGGAATATTGACACTGCTTATGCTTTGAATTCTTGCTTGGCGATCACATTTCTGTTCACATAGTATGGATCAGTATAGTGTAGAATAACTGCAGTTGAACTTCAATATCTTGAACATATTTTATCATGGTGCTATTGCTAACATTATTGATTTCACATCATCACCTTTACCATAATATTGTATCTTCATTTTGTTCTTGTATGAAGGATGAATTTCTTAGAAATGCTTGATTTTCTTGTTGATGGTCATCTAGTGTTTCATTGTAGGTTACAATCTTTGTTGCTTTTTGTTTTTCAACCATGTATCCTTTTATGGCCGAGATTACTTTTCTTATTGTGTTTCCATTAGGTTGATTTTCCACAGCCTTTTGCAATAGACTACATGAGTGTCTTTGGATGATTATCAACTGCCATGTTACAGATCAGTCTTTGTTGCCTATTTATTTATATACCTGTTGATAATTTTTACTTCTGTGACTACCTTTGTGTAATTATTATTTTCCGGGTAATCACTTACACCACACACGCACTCATACAAATGCGTGCTAAGAGCGGATGCTCTCCCAGGATTAGGTAACTATTACATGTGTTACTTGTGAGTTTTTTGTGGGTTGCATTAAAGCTCTTGGGCTATACTTCGCCCTTAGAATACCAGTCATGTTTCCTTTGTCTTTGTTTACTACTGTGACGGGACTAGATTTGCTGAATTGCGCAGGTGTTGGGGCATCTCCAATCCTTACTCGAATCCCAACTTACATTTAAATATGAGTAAAAACAGCCTACAAGCAAACTCCAATCCTTTACTCAAACTCATACGAAATGAAGGAGACTCAAATCTTTGATCAAATTTCAATAATTAGATTTCACTCTCCTTTAAAGATCCAATAGTTATACTTCACCCTCCTTGATGTATCTCTCTATTCTATTTTCTTTTCAAACTTATTGGTAAATGCCAAAAACATGACTTTTGTTGTGATATCCGCATATTTAAATCTTTACAATAAAGTGTCATGTATTTTTTTTTTTAACTTTAAAAAAGAAGAAATGACATCACAAAAAAATGAATGATATTCTCATACTATAGGAAAAGTTAAAATGTGATAAAGGAGCTTCGAAAGTGAGGGGATAATTAAAATGAAAAAGAGATGTTGGAGGGAAAGAAGTACGGAAAAAAAAAAGAAGAAAAAAGTTTTGGATAAAAAAAAATATACTCTTAGGAGAATATAGGGATTCTTTTCAAAAAATATTTGGTTAAAAATTTAAGTTTTTCCATTGGATGGAAGGTAAAATTGAGGGAAAGATGTTTTGGAGGGAAAGAAAAGGGAAAAGGAAGAAATTATTTGAGGAAACAAATCAAAGAAAAGCGCTCTTGGGATAAAAGCGGCGATTTATTGAAAGATTTGAGTGTCAATCAAACTTTTTACTCAATTTGAGTAACCATTGGAGATGGCCTTATGAGTGTAATTAGTATTTTTCCCCATATTGATGGACGTGGCTTCTGGTCGTTGAACATCTATTTCCCGATAGAGA